ATCATTCCCAATTCGCAAACACAGACCTCTTTCCTGCCAAGCTGTCTCTTTCCACCTGTGGAGAGTTTTCTGTTACTCTGCAGCCTGTATTTCTGGGTATTCAAGTATTCTGACCTCAGTCCAGCTGTGTTTGAGGGATGAGGGAAATTCAGGTCCTCCTGCTTCTCTGCCATCTTAACTCATCTCCCCTGGTATTTTTCTTTTAGAACTTTAAATATATCAGTCCACTGTCTTCTGCCCTACAAGGTACTAATGATAAATCCACTGATAATCTTTTAGTGGGTTTCATACATAACAAGTTGCTTTTCTCTAGCTACTGTCAAGATTGTCTTTCTGTCCTTAACAACCATTGTTTGATTTTAATTTGTCTAAGTATGGATTTCTTTTGGTTTGTCTTGGTAATCATTGAGCTCTTTATATTGTATATTTATTTCGCTCCTCAAATTTGGGAGTGTTTGGTCATTATTTTGTCAGATAATTCATTTGCCCTTTTTTGTTTCTCTTTTCCATCCAGGACTCCCATAATGCCTATATTGGTACATTTCAGGGTGTCCCATATATCATTTAGGACCTGTTCATTTTTCCTTATTCCTTTTTTTTCCTTAGATTCAGTAACTTCGAATGATCTGTCTTCAAGTTTGCTGATTTTTTTTCTTGCTGATTAAATTCTGAACTCTAGTAAATTTTTCAATTTTTGTGCTTTTTTAACTCTAGAATTCCTGTTTTTCCCCCACTTTTTGATGATATTCTCATTTAGTTCCTAAATCAAGTTCCTAATTTTGTTTATTTGTCTGTACAAGCTCTCTTTGAGCTTGTTGACCATACTTAAAGCAATTGTTTTAAATTTTTTGTCAGGTGAGGCAGAGGCCTGTGTTTCTTTAAGGTCAGTCTCCTGATATTTGTTTTGTTACTTTGAATGGATTATCTTTCACTGTTGCTGTTTATGCCTCATAATCTTTTCTTAACATTAAGACATTTAAAAACAGCTATATCTCCCAGTCTTTGAGGACTGGATCCATACAGACACTTTAATCAGCCCAGTTTCAAAACTCAGGGTCCACTCCAACCTTTTGTGGAGATGCATCTTCCCTGGGCTTATGCATGTGCTTTTATTCCCAATCCTCATATACTCAGCTGTTTTTAAGGGTATTCATTTCCCTAAGAGTCTTACTCCTGCTTCTCAGAAGCCTTAGAAAAATGCTTATATTCCTCGGCCCATAATCTCTTGCCCCCAGGAACCTGTGGGCCTGCAGAACCCCTCTAGCTCTCACCTGCCACTCTCTCACATGCTTTGAGTAGCATTCAATCTGCAAAGTATGTCACCATTCTAGTCAGTGCTCCAAGTCAGGCGAGATAGAAATTAATTCCTCAAGCTACCAAAAACAAGACAGGTCACTGGAAGCAACTTCCACTCTTCCTTATATTCCAGAGGGAAGAACTGGGAATTGGGTGCTTTCTTCCCAATTGCACCATGCTGCACTGGGAAGGGGGTGGGGCAAGATGAACAAAAGGACTATGAATTTTTCTACCGTTGTGGGCACAACTTTTTCTTAAGCATTCATTTGGTTGCTGCATATTCTTAACTGGTTACTAGAGTTATCACAAAGCTACTTTGGTCCATATATTGTTTACTTAGTGTGTCCATGGAACAAGGCCCAGAGACTTCCTATCTGCCATCTTGCTGGTTTCACTCATTCCCTATTACTTGTTAAAATTGCATGTGAATCTATAATTATCAAAAATTAATTTTTTCTTGTTAATTGGTTTCTGGAGTGGAATTTAGTGATTCGCTACTTCACACCCATTGCTCATCACAACGAATGCTGTCCTTAATGCCCCTCACCCATTTAACCCATACCCCCAACACCACCCCTCCAGCAACTCTCAGCTTGTTCTCTATGGTTAAGAATCTCTTGTGGTGTGCCTCCCTCTCTGTTTTTATCTTATTTCATTTTTTTTCCTTCCCTTCCGTTATGCTTATCTATTTTGTTTCGTAAGTTCCACATGAGTGAAATCATATGGTATTAGTATTTCTCGGACTGACTTATTCACTTACCATCATACTCTCTAGCTCCATCCATGTGTTGCAAATGGCAAAATTTCATTATATATATATACACCACATCTTTATCCATTCTTCAGTCAATGGACACTTGGGCTGCTTCCATAATTTGGCCATTGTAGATAATGCTGCTGTAAACATCTGGGTGCATATACCCCTCTCAATTAGTATTTTGTATCTTTTGAGTAAATACCTAGTAATTCAATTACTGGATCATAGGGTAGTTCTATTTGTAACTTTTTAAAATGTTTTTTTTCTTTTTTTTTGAGAGAGAGAGATAGAGTATGAGAAGGAGAGGGGCAGAGAGAGAGGGAGACAGAATCTGAAGCAGACTTCAGGCTCTGAGCTGTCAGCACAGAGCCCGACACAGGGCTTGAAGTCCCAAGCAGTGAGATCATGACCTGAGCCGAAGTTGGACGCTTAACCAACTGACCCACCCAGGCATCTGTAACTTTTTGAGGAATCTCCATACTGTTTTCCAGAGTGGCTGCA